AAAAAAAAAAAAAAAAAGAGAAGAAGAACACCAGAAACAAAAACCATGTTTTTTCTTTCCCCAAAAAACAAAAAACAAAAAACCCTTAAATAAGCCTATCGGCGAGCGAGTGGGGCAGGGCAATGGGGCAGGGCAACGGCAGATTCTCCCCCCCCAAGACCCCAACCCTTCTCTTTTTTCTTTTTTTTTTTGAACGTAAGTAGGGAAGATAAGTTACGTAGGGGAGAGAAGACCAGGCCAAAGCTGCAGCAATGATAGAACTGCCTCTACACTCGCATGTCAAGTCCTGTTCGATTGTGTGCTATGCGGGGTTACACACTGGCAGACCTGAGATATGGACATGATTCCAGTCAGATGCATGTAGGTCTGGCCGTGATTCTAGTCAGATGCATTGGGAACAATAGTGCTAGTGTGAGTGTGCCTTCAACATCTGCTGCGCGAGTAAAGGAGTGAAAAGGCAGAATAGTGTCCCTTTTCTTGTTCTTCTTCTTATTTAATTAAATTAAACTTCTTTTGGCATGCACATAAGCATCTGGCGGACTATTAGGGTAGTCTTTTTTTTTCTTTTTTTTTTTTTTCCTTTTCGTCATAGACTATTAGGATAGTCTGAAGAGGCAGCAATTCGCAATTTTATTCTGTTAAAAAAGGCATAGCTGCTCAGTTAACCCCCCAGTCTCACGGGGGGCAGTCAATGCTGGCAGCCAGATACCATCTTACCATCTGCAACCCTTAAAATGTTCAAGTGGGACGCTGGACCCGTTTTCCAGCAGGTGGTGGTCCCCACCAATAGATTGGAGCCTCCTTGGTGGGGCACTACCCTAAGGGGAGGTTGCTCGTATCACCTTGCCTAGTGAAGCTGGACTGGAGGTACTCCTTGAAGGAGGGTGATGTAGTCGGAACAGTCATTGCTGTGTTCGTCAAAGTATTTTTCTCCAAATGAGAGGGACGCTGGACCCGGTTTCCAGCAGGTGCTGCTCCCCACAAATAGACGGAGCCCCCCAGGGAATGCTAGGGTAGTCTGCTCTTATCAGCTACTCTAGCATCAACTCAGGGCGTTGGAGCAAGCGGCCTAGCTCAGGTTGGTTAGGCACACAAGTGGCATTGAGGAGAGGTCATGTGTTCATTCCCCACGGCCACCTTGCCATGCGTGGTGCCAACCAACTGAGAATGGCAGCAAGGTCTTTCGCCAACACGGATGTGAGTGTGAGTGGGGGTTGTGAGGTCGGCTGTGTGGGGGAGTGTTCATTCACCCTACCGGTCGCCCTAGACACTGCTGTTATTGGATGGGGGTAAGGGGCGGGGGAAGAACAAAAGGGAGGCACAGCTACTGGCAAATGTTCGGCCTTTGAGTTAGCTCGGGTGGGCTGGGCCCCCACCGGCGGCCCGAACCCTGCACCCTAGACCACTACCATAGGGCAAGCCTTAAGGCAACATGCATCCCCTTTGATTGGAAAAGCTATGCTTGGGGACCCCTCCAAGCATAGCTTTTGACCCCTCCAACCATAGGGTAAAAAGCTATGCTTGGAGGGGTCCCCTGCACTCTAGTAGTTATGGATCTGATCATCTGGCGTAAGACCACCTCTGTGCAAGCACGGAGATGGAGTCGAACCGGCAACCTCGGCCTCAAGATCCATGTCTCTGAACCACCACAGCCAGGACACGGTGTTCAAAAGTGGAACCGTGATATCCACCCAACCCCGGCAAGGCTGTAGTAGCCAACTCAACCAACACCGCACACACACAGACCACACGGAGGCGGCAATTAGCACATGACCCCCACTGAAACATTGCCTGCTCAACACACACGGCTCTCTTATCTGCCCGTGGGTTCACGGGAGCTTTCCACAGTAGTTATGGATCCGTACATCAGATAGTCTTGGGAAGCCAGACTATCAATGGTCCTACGTGGCGGGAACACAGAAAGGCTAAAAATTTTGGCTTTTTTTTGGAAGCCCAATTTGTTCAAACTTCAAATTCAAACAAATGTCAGTTTTTATTTTTATTATTATTATTATTTACTTTTATTATTACTATTACTATTATTATTATTGTTATTATTATTATTATTATTATTATTATTATTATTATTATTATTATTATTATTTTTAAGCCCAGGTTGTTGTAGAGGCTGGGTTATAGACATATGAGAGTCACCTTCCCCCATTGACCCAATAAATTGGTCGTGGGGAACCAAAAAAAAGCACAACAGGAACTTCAGCCGACACTTACACACTCTATCGGTCAAATCGACCTACCGGATGCTCAGGCCAAAACTCAATCTAAAAGACAGGGTGGTGGAGAGATGGATGAAACAGCTGAATATCAACAAGGAGGAACTCAGAAACATCCAATGGTTTAAGGATTCCAACATCAAACCTTCAAAAGTAGCCTCACTCCAGTGGCAGATAGAACACCGGTGCCTTCCCACAAAAGACTGGCTGGCAGATAGATCTTCCTTGGAAGCAAAAGGTAGTGCAGACCCTTGGTGCAAACTATGTAAATCTGCATACCCAAGCAGGAAGATACCGGAAACAATCGAACACATTTTCCTCGAGTGCCCTGGCTCCATCTGGCTATGGCGGTGGTGGGACAGAATTTGGGAGCAATTAGAAACTACGCAGGGGTGGCCATGGGACTGGAAAGCGATTCTGCTGGAGCACTGGTCTCCAGACCCAGAAGATACTTTTACTCAGAATCTTTTCATCCTAGGGAGAAGGGCGGTGCTTTGGGCCATCTGGCAGAGAAGGAATACCTTTGAATGGGAAGACGCCAGACTAGATGGCCCAGAATTCACTGAAGGTATAAAACAACAAATTCAAACTCATATACAGCACATCTGGACTAACCTGAAGGAAAAGATTCAGTTCAACTCATCAAAAACAGAAATCTCTCAAACATTCAAACATTTCAGCAGCAACTGGCTGGGTGGGAGGGAAGGGGGAAAGATAGGGAAGGTGAATGGGAGGAAGCTGAGACGGATGAGGATCAGCACTTCAACAGGAACTACAAGTTGGAATTTAATGATTGGACCCAGGTGGACCCTTCAATTCCTCTGCGCCCGGCCCAGGAATTCCCGCATCTCTTCCCACTACCCCAGAACGCTCTGGTTCCAATGTCCTGGTATGGTAGAGACCCAATTGAGTGATGCTTCGTCCAACCAGTTCCCGACTCTCTTCAAAACCTTCCTCCCCGACTAAAGGTTGAATAGGCTAGATAAGAAAGAAAAATATCTGGCGCCCCATCTGGGGTGAAGAGGTCAACTTCAACTACTACAGGTCAGGGCTCTCCAGGTTACTTCTCATAGGTGGTGGACATACTTGGCACTGTTGCTGGTAAATTTGTCTGTTGTTTTCTCGAAGTGTGAGGGATGCTGGACCCGTTTTCCAGCAGGTGTTGCTCCCCACCAATAGATGGAGCCTCCTGGGTTTAAAAAAAAAAAAAAAGAAAAAAAAAAAGAAAAAAAGAAAAAAAAAAAAAAGAGAGTCACCTTCAGCACTTGTGTCATTGCTGTATGAGGTGCAGGTATGCATCGATAGTGGTTTTTTTTAATTGGGGGGCTAACAGAGGTCTCAATGTAACCCATGGTCCCATACANAAAAAAAAAAAAAAGAGAGTCACCTTCAGCACTTGGCCATGTGGTAAGTTTTTTAACTACAAAAAAAAAAAAAAAAAAAAAATTCACAACAAAGAGTAGACTATGCAAATTGTCATCAGATAATTGTATGGCTCCGCTTGAGTTAATGGCAGCAGCATGGTATTGCTCCTTCGAGACGGACTCCCACCTAGCAGCCCTGCCCCACAACGCCCCTCTCGCCTCAGCCACCCCGACTGGTAGTTTTGGCACAGCGCAACCACCTGTTGCTGCTGCGCTAACACGAGCTTGCGCAGTTCAGGCGCCGCATGGCTCGGCTTCAGAAACATAAGTGTGACTCAAACTCTGGATATATTCTGGAAGCTCCAAGTGAAGCGAGCAAGATAACGCCTGCGCCGCTGCGGTCAATCAATCAGGGATAGAAGTCATCCGTGTGTTGCTACACGCACTGCGCTCGTCAACTAATACACGCAAAATTGTATTCTTTGGTGCAGAAGGTATTGGGGAAAAAAAAAATAAAAAAAATGTTAGCTGGGCATTAGCGTACACAACTTGAAGGCAGTCCACACATCACAGCAAGCAGGGACATGGCAAGTGGGTGGGCAGCAAGGCAGTGAAGGAGCGTAGGCAAGGGAGTGAGAGTCCACACATCCAACACAGACCAAAGCAATCCATCAAGTGGCATCAACTACCACATCACAAGTAGAACCCCGCAGCCGCAGCCGCAGACTGTTGGTTCTCGCCACCCTCTGAGTCAGGGAGTAGCTCCGGTGAACATCTTTTTTTTTTTTTTTTTTTTTTTAAAGCATCTCTGAGTCAGGGAGTAGCTCCGGTGAACATCTAATATCAACATTAATCAACACCTAAAAGCAGGCATCGCAGAAATAAGGAATGGAGTGGTCTCCCTGATAGAACTGCCATTTCGTCAAAATGGACATTTTTTATTTGTTGAACGAAATTGAAACCGAGTCTTTTTGGCCGAAAACAGGTCGGCTCCTGAGCGTCTGGTAAGTCAGACCGCCTGGATGTAACTGGTCTGAAGCTAAGTCGATATACTTCCAGGGGGTCCAGACTTTTAAGAATGTTGGACCCCCAGGAGCCAAAAATTTGGACCTGTTTCGACCAAAAAACTGGGTTTCAATATCGCTCAAAAAATAAAAATATGTTCATTTTCACAAAATGGCAGATATAGTGCAGCAGGCACTCTAAGCACAGGAACCACCGACTGTTTAGCACTGCTTAAGGGTGCTCGCTTCGTACTCTGAAAAAAACAGGAAAAACAAAGGAAAAACAGGCATACATAAAAATGATGGGGTGTGTCTGTGTGTCTGTGTGTGTGTGTCAGAGAGAGAGAGAGAGAGAGAGAGAGAGAGAGAGAGAGAGAGAGAGAGAGAGAGAGAGAGAGAGAAAGAAGATGGCCCATTGCAACCTAGTGGGTGTGGACAGTGAGTTCACAAAAGGCATAAAATTTCAGAGAACCCCCAAAAAATCATACTATTTGAAAGAACTGATTGAAATGTTTTTTGAATTCTTGTCTCTGGATTTCTTCAGACTCTGCAGATTGGAAAGTGGGAGCGTCCAGTTGAGGCCCTTCCGGACTCAGCTTTATGGCCAACATGGGGCGAGTTGCGAGATCGTGTACTGTCTGCTTGCAAAGAGGTACGGCATGGAAAGTCAGCCTGGCCCAGTGCTTTACTGCACTTCATGATGTCAAATTGCCAATCAATTATAGCTGGGTGTGGTCCCTTACAGGGCCTTACTCTTTTTATCAAATAGTCAACATCATTTTGCAATGGAAAAAAAAAAAAGAAGGACGTCGCTTTTAAAGGTGGATATTGTGAATCCTCTGAGGATGAAGAGAGAACCCTCTGAATTGAGACCTTGCCAGTATTTAAAAAAAAAGGAGGGCAAGACTGCAAGTACGTTGATGTCACTTTTGACTTTCAAAAGCGCAAGAAACGAACGCCCCCATAATGAAAACAGCCGCCGAGTTTCAAAAAGCATTTGAAGTACCGCGGCCGTGACAGAGGCACGGGTGTTATAACTATAACTACGGGGGTCGGCCGTGGTGTTAAACGGTAAAAGGGGGAAAAAGAAACAAAAAGGCCCAAGGGTTCCTTTTCTACCGAAGTTGCCATTTCAAACTACCGTAGCGCCGTGATTTCCTTGCACGCACATGTCTTTTTTCCCTTCGCAAAGTTTGACTCAAAAACTGCTGTTTCCGTACTACTTGTTTCAAAAACAAAACATGCCATTTTGATGTTGCAAGGAAAATGAGCGATATAGCGAAATGACAGAAATCCAGAATGAAAAATCACATTGAAAGCCAGAAAGTCCAACGCTGTCCAGAAAGCAGAAATGCACCGATATATCACCAACGGAGAACCAAAGCACCGAATCCGAATGTCAATGAGAGCACTCTCTCGCCACCACCGCTCAGCGCCCAGACTACCATCACACAGCTACTACCAGCCTACGAATTGACAATGCAACCTGTTGACGTCAGCAGCAGAGCCGAAGTACATGAAGATGTCGACCCTTGTAGACCATCGCGAAGACCAGGTACGTCCCCTCACATCCTTATCCTCATCCCCCTTTTCTCTCTCACCCTCGACTCCTACACCCACGTCTTCTCCCTCATACACGAAGACACCACCACCTCCCGCTGGCTATCCAAGCCCAATCCCGGCTATATGGGCAGCAGCGCCCTACCTCTTTCACGACCGCACGCACGCACTTCTGCACTGGCGCTAGCAGCAGCACGCGAGCGCTCGCTCCAGCAGTGCTGCCGCCCGATCTACCAAGTGCTCGCCTCCCCTGCGGGAGGCCGGCCGTTTCCTATATGGAAAGTGGCGGGCGCATCCCACTTGCTTGCCCCGTGAGACCGAGTTTCCAGTAGATTCAGTCTCAGCCAAAGTCTCTGCGCCCAGGCCCGTTCAGACAGTGGCCTGGGACCGTTTTCGCCAGACATGCCCAACCACCCAGGCAGAACGTGCAGTGTCCCCTGCTTCGACCACGTTGCTGGAAGAGCCTGGAAGGCTCACGAATATTTCCGATTCTCGCGAGCAAAGCGGATGTAACCAACTTGCACGTGGCAACTGTCTGGCGCCCACCAAGATTTGCAAAAATTGACGAGTTCAGGGCACATTGAGATTCAGGGGGGGCTGCCTTCAGTTAGGGTGGGCACACACCTGCTGCAGGGCCTTATGCCGAGGGGTAAACCCTCACAATGTGCTGAATCAGATGTGAATGATAATCATCATGGACTTCATCGAATATGATTCTTTTTTTTTACCCTTTTTCCCCTTTTCTTTTTTTTAATGCTCACAGCCACAAGCTACTCATACTCGGGTGACACTTTTTTCTTCTTCTTCTTTTTTGACGTGTTGGGAACCAGGCCTAGTGCCCCACACAAGATTATGCAAAACATGTAAAATACCGGGGCCATTGCCCAGCTTCGGCTGAGAACCACTTAAACCGCCTCTGCCTCTCCCGCTGTTGGGAAATTGGGAAAATACTATTTTGTGTGTGTGTGTGTGTGTGTGTGTGTGTGTGTGTGTGTGTGCGCGTGTACAGACACCCATGCTCAAGCCCATCTAGCTCCAAATAAAAAACATTTACAAGAATATCATCTGTATGAGAAACTTCAATGATGCGCAGGTTGGTTCTTAATTGCCACCCAGTCAATGGAGGAAGACTTAGGTCCGTTTCTAAGGATTCCAACCCATTCCGATGGAATTATATCAACTTTTTGTTCCAAGGCCTTATTCTGACGGTGGCGGTAGTGAAGGCGGTCATGTAGGTCGGATGGAGAAATCCAGTCCCTAGTCTCTTTATTCTAGATATCCTTAATGCGTATCACTTCATTCGTAATCCGCCCTTTCCACGGAGAATCCATGCAAATTGAATGGCGAACACACCGTTGAGAATCTATGGGCCTCTTGACACACCTCTTCCCATCTTTCTGGGGCTATTTTATCTGGTAACTGTAATTTCCTCCATGTTTTTAACAATTTGATAGTGATCCAAAAGGGATCCTGGCATAAGTCTCTTCTTGCCGCTTGTCTATCAGTCAACTCTTGGTGTCGTCGTTCCATCAAGGAGCCCCTATGGAGAGATCAGGATCGATTCTCCAACCACATCAATGGGTCAATAGTAACTGGTGCTATCTTCTGAACTGTTCACAAGGCAATCTACTCCATGGAGTCTGGGAGTCAAACAGGAGTATTTTGAGCCACTGTATGAACAAGGTCGTAGCTTGGGTGGAAGGGTCAATAATGCCAAGACCCCGTCTGGACTTAGGTTGGATCACCGATAAGCACGTCACCCTACTAATAGCATATTTACATTCATGGTTCTTTCACCATAAGAATGCTGAGAGTTGGCGCTGAAAAACTTTAAGATTTGCCTTGTCTATAGCCCAAACTGCAGACTTGTACGGTTGTACCACATAAAAGTTAATACCACATTGTTGATTGCCAAGGTCCTTCCAAATATCAATGTGTGTTTATCTTTCCATAATTCTAATTTAGTATAGGCCGGCTGCATAATCCTGTCATTATTGGTTGTTGGTTTTCCATCAGCTGATAGCTAAGGGAGAGACTTTGATTGGGGACTTTAGTGGAAACCATTTCATCTAAGGTTGTTATATGGCTCTCACTCTATGGTAATCAATCCACAACCCAAGAGTTTTATTTCCCCAGTTCACCTTCATATCACAACAAATGACAAAATGTATTTATTCTCCCTAACCTTTGGCATGAAATGAAAATTTAAATTTTAGAGTGTAAGTTTATTATGGAATGATTATTTAATTATAGGATTTTTTTATGTTGAACTGGCTCATGGCGCTAACCAAAAGAACGCATGTACCAGTTAATTTTTTAGGCTTGCAGGGTGTTAACTTCCCGAACTTGGCAAGCGAAGGGGTCAAACGTACTGGTGGTTTAAGGAGTGCACTGACAGATCATCCGTAGATGTTTATGAGAATTTCAAATGACGTTGCACCTCATTTCCAGCAATTTTTAAGTTAGAAAATAAGAAAGGAAAAGAAGCTGGGTAATGATGAAAACAAAAAAGAAAAGAGGTTGTTGGGTAATGACGCAAGTATTCGTTTGTGTTTCAATCATGCTATACAAACCAACGGGAAACCGAAAACAAAAATGTTTCTAACAATATCAAAAAAAAGATTTAAAGTTTAAACCTTACTTTCAAAAACTATAAATTTAATTTTACCTACACGATAAGACATTACCTATCCCCGGGGCTCAGGGCGGTGAGACCCAGCGGTCGACGGTAGAGGAACCCTCATGGGCCCAGCAAGTTGTGACATTTAAGAGGCTAGAGGGCGGGTAGGTTAGAGAGGGACGATTGTGGCTGGGAAAAACGGTGATGAAATTCATCAATGGTGTAATAATGGGACGTTGGACCCGGTTGCCAGCACGTGTCGCTCCCCATTAATAATACTGGAGCCATCAAACCCCGAGGATCCTACTACAAACACGGACTCTTATCCTTGCCGGTAGCAGAGGCTCCCAAGTCGATGTTTCTTAGAAAAAACAAAAAAAAGACATTACCTTCTATTGGGAAAAAAAAATGCAAAGAAGTGCATAGTGCAATTTTTTTCCTACCTATTTTGTTTTTCAACGATGTCATTTTGTGGCTTTGACATATTATGTATAACCTTGTCAACAGATCTCAATCATCTGGAGTGAGGCTATGCGGGATGGCTTCATCGACGAGCTCGTCGGTTTATCGCCACCTGTTCTGGTGAGTACCTTACCAGGACTATCACACTGTGAGAATCGATGGGCATGGTTGCACTTAATGCAACATGAGCATTTTGGTTTGATCTGTTTAGTAAAACTTGGATATCTTGATATTTGCTATATTGTTTGGTAGGTTTCCTTTGAATTTTCTGAATGCTACAGTGGTTTTCAAATAAATATTCCTAGTATTTTCAGTCAAAGTCAAATAATGGCTGTGAATCAGGGTTGCCGGCGTTCGGGGCGGGCCGAACACCCGAACCCGAACGCCCGAACGTTGGGACCCCCTCTCGACGCGTTCGGACGTTCGGC